GTCGATTTGTAAATTTATGTCTGAATACTCCTTTTTTTGGTGTCAACCGTCTGTCTGCCCACCTGCAGTGCTTGTGTCCTTTGTGTCATAGGGTAGAATGGATTCATCTCACCAGGCTTCTTTCGTGTCATTTATAGGTAATCGCGAGAAACACTGCTACGCGATCCCTTTGAAGGGTCTCGAGCTAGCCTGACATGAAATTGAACTCAAAATGAGTCTAAAACTGATGTGGTATTCCGTCCCTCCTTATCCATTGTTGCGAAACAAATGAACACATGGGTGTTTCGCAACTTATGCTTTTTCTCCACTCATCCCTTTCGTCATTGTTTTGTCTGAGCGATTTACTCAGCCTGCTAGTTACGTCTTCTGGAATGCCTTCTGATACCTACCCCTGTCCTGACTGCGGGAAAGTGATGCTGAAGAAAAATTTGTACACCCATGTTAAAGTCTCCCATCGGAAACTCGAGGAAGAGGTATTACAAATACGTGAACAAATCAACAGGCGGGCTGGACTTGCTAAGGTAATATGTCCAGAATGAACAGAGAAATGAAGAATCGTTGTCATCTACACATGCGAATTTACCATGTAATATTGGGTAAGCGTGTAAGCTGCAAATGTTCTGGCGCAGGCCGAACCCGCGGTCACCCCCGCTCCTTAGGAGCGGGGCTTAGGGCATTGTGGTTTCTGTTCTGCCCGAACCAGGGTGTCTTGTATGCCATTAGGATAAATCTTGTAACCAATCACTGAACCACCTTCATACATTCTTAAAGAGAGATACTCATCTCTCGTAATTATAAGGCGCCACCCTTCCGCCTAAGTCACCACATTTTTTGGTGCATCGGCCAAAGCCGTTATAAGGTCAGCAAATCGCCTGTCCTCGGGACTCAGTTAGCCCTAAAACCGCAAACAACAGCTTTGCGAAGAACAACCGCTCTACAGCGTTGTTGTTTGTTGAATTCCTAGTTGAATTTAACAGACAAGTCTTAATTTTATCGCTCAAAAGCAGCGAATCATTTGCTATTTCCAACGGGCTTAGCTCATCTTTCCCTAGTAAAGGAACAACCGCTCAGAAGCAGCGTAGTTTAGCTTGCTAAATCAAAGTAAGCACATCATTCTTTATAGAACAGCCGCTCAACAGCAGCGAATCGTAAAAAGTAAGACTACAGAATGTCACTATTCTTTTACAAGAAACCAGTTCTCGCTTGCGCTTCCGCCCTAGCCACACTTCTCCAGAAATACGAAAGCTATGGAGAAAACGTAGCATATCCAGAAAATGAGGAAGAACTTTACGAAAAAGCTATAGCGAACGTTTCCCTTCTATCATCAGCACTGACCAGGATAAAAACTGCGGTCTCCAATCTCCAAGAAAAAATCGATAAAATGGAGAATCAGTTTGCAAACGCGAAAAAAGCGGACCAAAGAGATATGATGGTAGAGGTTCAAGAAATGGAAAAGGAATCACAGTACTCTCAACATTTGAGTAACGCGGAAATTTTCATTCACACTCTGGAGTGTCAGTTAACTGAAGCAAGAGTGAATTTAGCGAAAGCACAACGAAAACTTAAGCTACCATCTTCTAGAGATATTACTGAAGGGGATGCAACTTAAAGTACCAACGGAGTAAACTGGTCCCATACAACATCCGAGGATGGTGTAAATTCTGATTCTATAACAAAAACAAGGTCAGTGAAACCACCAAACATTAGCCTGCCCAAATTTCATGGCAAGGAAGAATTTCGCGAGTATTGGGCCATATATGAATCATTGATACATTCGAGCAGTGACTTGAGCGTTATTGAAAAAATCGTTCTACTCAAGGATAGCTTGAGGGGAAAGGCAGAAAAAGCCATCAGGGGCATTCAACCAATCGCCAAGAATTATGATTGGATAATTACCACCCTTAAGGAAAAATTTGGCAACTAACCTGTGAATAGGTCAAAAATAGTGCAGAAACTATTTGATTTAGAAGTAGCAACGAATAATGCGAAAAGTTGCGATGATCTTTTGGACTCAATAAAAGCACTTGTGAACCAAATGGTTTCTACGGACTACGACATCAGAGTTACCAGTGATCCAATGTGGACCGAAACGATTATTAAAAAATTCCCTCTCACAGTCATAAAGGACGTCTTGGCAAAATATCAAGAAAATAAAAATATTACTATTGGAGAACTTTTAAAAGACTCGAGAAGGAGATCTCTTCCAAACTCTTTGTTGAAACACATTGGGGTTCCAATAGCGAACATGCCAAGGAATCGAAACTCACTAGAGACTTTAAAGTCCAAAACCAAAGGTATCCTCAAACGTGCGTCTTCTGTCAACGCAATAACCATTTTCGGCTGCATGCAGAACCGTTTCTGATGTTCAAAGACGACGCGACATCGTCAGGGAAACACCTATGTTGAAAATGTTTTTATAACAACCATTCTAGTACTCAATGTAAAAAACCCAACTGCTCCAATTATTGTGGCCAGAAGCACCACGTAACTTTATGTCTGGCGAACAGACCGTCCTCCAACATCGCCAGACCCCCACCGCACAATCAAAGGTAGGCAAAAAATGAGAACAGCCAGCAAGACAATACCAGCAGACCGCAACGATTTGATAACAGAGTTAACAATCGTACATCTAACGATGCCAGAAGGGCTCAGCAGACCAATACACAACTCGTGCAAAATGAGCAGGAGCACGACCGCTCTTCAATGTTCGGTAATAGCAGAAATGAACAACTGATTCTGATGACCGCTGAAGGGAATCTTTGGAACAACAACGCACAGCGATATGAGGAAGTATTATTCTTCTTTGATACGGGAGCGCATAAATCGATCATTGAGGAAAAACTAGCTAACGATTTTGGACTCCCTAAGCTCTCCACTGAAACCTGCATTATGTCAGGTATTGGTGGGCATATTGAAAGATTCGAGAGCACAACAGTGCCTCTAAAAATACAGTCCATTTACGGGAGAGAAGTAAATTTCACTGTCCAAACCAAACCAGTTATAACTGGAGGATTTCCTTCAGTAAGATTGTCCCAAAGAGATGCGAAATTTCTCGAAAACCGTCAGATTTGCATTGCCAATTCCAAACTCCAAGGGGAAAGGCAAGTACCCAAAATACTTGTGGGACTTGATAGATATTATGACTTAGTTCTAGAGAACGGGATGTCAACAAGCACTCCTTCGGGTCTTCGTATCGCTCAGACTTTATTCGGACCTGCCATATATGGTCGCGGCAAATTGGACTGCCCTCAGGATCAGCAACCAATTTCATTCGGGTTAACAGCAATTCACGAAGATTCAGAGAACAATTATTAGAGAATCTCTTTGAGCTTGAGGGCCTAGGAATATCCTCCAAGAATGCGCAACTGATGACAAAGTCCAACAGTACTTCGAAGATTACGCAAACTCTATATCATTCGATAAGGGATATGTCACAGCCCCATTTCCGCTGAAAAATAATATCTCGCTATTACATGACAATTATCCCATTGCCATTAAAAGGTTAGCGTCGCTACAGAACCAACTGAAACACAATCAAGAACAAGGTGATTGGTATTCGAGGATCCTAGAAAGTATCGAAACCAAGGCATCATTGAGCAGTTATCGATAAAAACGAAAGCGCTGTGGGCATATATTACATGCCACACTCAGGTGTTTGGCGTCCTCAGAAAGCAAAACCTTTGCGGATAGTCTTTGATGCTTCGTCCAAGAAAAAGGACAGTTTTCACTCAACGACGTGATTCATAAAGGAGAGATCATTCGTAAACAAAATCCATGAGATACCCATTAACAGTCGCCTCAGCAAATATATTTTACTTTGCGACATCGAGGCGGCATTCACACAGATTAGACTTAAGGACGAGCACAAAGACCTGTGCCGATTTCTTTGGGTGAAAGACACCAATAAACCTGTTATGCGGTCAAACATAATAGAGTACCGCTTTACCAGATTACCTTTCGGTATGACCGCGTCACCAAGCATCCTAAACATGGCACTTCTCGCATATTTGCGTTTGACAGGGACCCACTTATCCTCAGAAATTAGCAAAAACTTATACGTAGACAACATACTGCTGCGAGCTCAAACGGAGGAAGAGATCTACCGTAAATACGAAGAATCGAAACGTCTCTTTTCGAAAATTGGGATGAATCTTCGGGAGTACGTTTCTAACTCTGCGAATGTAAATTCGAAAATACCGGAAAAGGACCGCGCTGCACCAGGTGAATTGAAAATCCTCGGTGTCATTTATGATACAATCAGCGACCGCTTCACAGTGAAAGCAAAATTCGAAATGAAGCCAATCCTCACAAAAAGAGAAGTGGTAAGGCAAATAAATTCCGTGTACGACCCACTCGGTGTTGTTGCACCATTAATAATTGAACTCAAATCACTGATGAGAGAAATCTTCGCTCAACATTCAAAATGGGATGACCGGGTCAGTCCGAAACTCCATCAAATGGAACTTGTTATGCTCGTCAATCAATAACACAGAAATAACTATCCCGCGGCCACTAATAGCGGACAATGTACCATCTTCAAACGCTTTACTCTGGGTTTTCGCAGACGCTAGCAAGACAGCAATTGCAACCTGTGCGTACATCGCTTACAAAAACAACGTGGTTACACACCTCGTCAGTGGAAAAACCAAGCTTTCACCAAAGAAGGCACCACAAACGATTCCTAGACTGGAACTCTTAGGGGTCCTGATAGCACTGCGTCTTGGAAAGTCTATCTTACAAACAGATGGTTGCTATATCAAAAAGCTCATTATTGCTTCAGATAGCGAAATCTCTCTGTTGGATAAAATCAAATCGCAAGTTGCCACTCCTCGTGGCAGCCCAGCGTGACAATCTAGCGCTAAAGGGTGATTTCGAAAATGATAACGTAGAATACATTTCGTGCACGTACCAACTCTTCTAAACCCAGCGGATGCTGGAAACAGAGGACTTACTTCTGTGCAGCTTTACGATCATCCATGGATCACAGGTCCTTCTTGGAAATGGGCGAAAACATGAAAGCCCTTAAACCGATCGAAGATATCCACATTCGGGAAAATGAGCCTGATTTCACCGAAGCTCCAAGTATCATAGTAAGCGAACCAAAACAAACAAGTTCACTAATCGATGTAACTCGATTCTCTAGCTTGAAAACGCTTCCTCGCACAGTGTCTAGGGTAGGAAAAGGTTTCCAAAAATGGATCAACCTAACCAACGAACAATCCACGATAAATATCAAACCCATAGTGCTGTCAAACTTTGACTCTGCTCCACACATTTCGGCAGACGATATGAATTTAGCCGAGAAGTTACTTATTCGAAATATTCACGAGAATGTTAAACTTGACGAACTTCAAAAACGATTCCCAAGACAAAAGATAATACGGGATTCGGACCGTATTATTAGACATGCTTCAAGGCTACAAAACTCACAGCTCTCCTGGGATGCAAAATCCCCCATATATTTGCCGAAGAATTATTTCACAAATCTAATCCTGCAAGACGTCCATAAATCGAATGCTCATGCTGGGAAGAACCACACGCTGTCAATAATTAGACAAAGATACTGGGTGCCATGCCCTTCAAGCGCTTACAAAACCGCCATCAAAAGTTGCACCACTTGCAAGCGCTGGCAAGGTATGCCTTTTGGGGCACCAGAAATGCCGCCATTACCATCGGATAAAGTTGTAAGATCAAAACCTTTTGCAAACTCTGCCTGTGACTTCATGGGTCCTTTTTCATCCAAAACCGGAGAGACAATGTACATTTGCCTTTACACTTGTTTAGTCATCCGTGCAGTGCATTTAGAAGTAGTAGAAGACCTATCTACTGGCGCCTTTTTGAACAGTTTCACTCGATTTATTTCGAGACGTGGTGTACCCGAGCTCATGAGAAGCGATTGTGGATCTAATTTTATGTTGGGCTCAAAAATGATATCTGACATCTTCAAAAATGAAGGTGTTGATGATAATGCGTTGATGACGTTTTGTGCGTCCAATGGTATCAGATGGATTTTCAATCCCCCCGCGAGTCCATGGATGGGCGGGGTTTGGGAAAGACTGGTCGGATCGGTCAAGAAATGCTTACAAAAAAGTATTGGTAGAAAAAAGCTATCATTCTGTGAAATGAGCACGGTCATCACTAAAATAGAGGCGATCATAAACACTCGCCCTCTCACAAAGCTGGAAGAAACAGATATCTATGAAATCCCACTAAGACCAATAGACTTTCTTCAAGGTAACATAGCGTTCTCGCTTCCAAATTTGGACATCTCAAACTGGGAAGACGAAACATACGACCCAGAGGTGATACAAACCGTTAAGCAAGCTAAAGAAGCGCTAAAGTCTGCTGAAAACATAGCAGACAAATTTTGGGAAAGATGGAGCAGTGAATACCTGCTCTCCCTTCGAGAGTCTCAGAAACTCCATCTCAAGCAAAAAAGACATGTCACAAGAACGACACCGGAAGTCGGTGAAATTGTGCACATAGGAGAAGATTTTCTTCCTCGCGGAAGCTGGTCCTATGGAAAGATTGTTGAAGTGATAAGTAGCACTGACGGACTTGTGAGATCAGTAAAACTAATGGTACCAAATAGAAAAATTCTCCATCGTCCACTTAATATGCTTTATCCGCTGGAAATCAGGAGTTTCACTGAGCCTAATGTCGTAGCAAAGACTCGAGATCCGCATCAGAAAATAATAGCCTCTCCAAGACTAAGAACAGAAAGACAGTCAAAAACGAAAGCTTCGGAAATCATAAAAGAATTCGAAAACAGCCTGGAAGATACTCAGGATGAAAATGTGAATGTTTACGTGAACGGAACACATGCTCCATTTTCACTAAACCGGTCGTTTCGCAAAATGACCTGTAACTCGCTGTTGATACTACAGGCGATACTCCTGGCTACAGCGCATGCCGCAGTTGGGCATACCACATCAAACCTTGATGTTACAACGGGAAGGTCATAATCGATCCCCCCAAGACAACCTTTGAGCTGTGTTTCAATCAAGAATGTCGAACATTTAGAAACAAATCATCACAAATGACATTCACCTTACCTCCTTCACCGATGAATAGAAAGGTGCAGATAAAATTAAACCAAACTGCTTCTATCCAAACACTTTCATGTGCTCCACCTGCTTTTTGTACCGTATCACAGAAATTTCTGTCAACATCATTGCTTGGAAACCCCCATTGTTGGCCGGTTGGTGCATTGGCATCGTTAGCAATAATGGTATTCATTATCGCATTGGGAGTCCTCATCATTTTTTGGATGCTGAAGGTTCTCGCTCGGTCTAAGGATCAGCGCAGTACCACTGTGAAGAATAAATCAGGATCGGTAGAATCAAAGGAAATGGAAATGAAAGTAATCCATTCGTATCGACCTGCGTCGTATCCCAATGGTAGCATGCGTGCTGTTTACGATAGTCAGCTTAGGTAATTCTTGTCAACATGGATTGTCCAGACATCATACTGAACTTGTTTGTAATCAGGATGGAAAATGCTCCTATGAAATAGGACGTGAAATTCTGTTTAACAGGTTACAAAGGAAACATTGCATCGAAATACACCTTCGAAACCGCACGGTTGGTATGCTAAGCATAGAGGTAAAAGCTTTGCACTTTACCTGCGTGAAAACATCAAAGTTTTTCACGAAGAACACGCAACATAAGATATTCTATTCCCACCGGTGTTCAGGGATGGGATCATGTATAGCGAGGAAATGCGACTTACTACAACCTAATGAAACAGTCCAGAACTACGCAGATCAAGACCTTACCCAGGCTACTCTGCCTTGATCATTCGAGTGGAGGAATACTCTCTGGATGTCTTTTACCGACACCCTCTTGCGTGTTCTACAGAGTCGCCCATATCCCGATCACTAAAGATGTGTGAGGTATTCGAATGTCAAGATTGGTCTCCATCCATACACTTGGAGATACTAGGCAACATCTTTGGTAAAACGACTCAAGAGCGTTACAACATACTGCCGTATCAAGCGACAGACGTGAAGATTATGAATGTCACGGCAGTCACAGTGCAGATGCCCTCACACTCGCCAATGAATAAGAAATTTGCTCAGTCGGAAAGTGAGACCATCATTTTACCAGACTCGTTCCAAGTACCGGTCGTATGCCGCACAAGATACGATGCACAGAGAAAATTCAGTAAGTGTGAAAACAGGATGACCTGCAGTTGTAGTACTGGGACATCTCCCCACATTTGTTAATGCAATAACGAATCGATCGGTCATATACGCTTGGAGGACTCCAATCTTTAACCGCTGAAGACAGGTTCTATGGAAATATACCCTCAAGGCACTGACCTTGTAGTAGATTCCTTAGAAGAAATAACTTTATATATAAGATCCAGCATGCTAAGCAATAGCTCTGAATTGGTCGTTGACGACCAGTGCAGGGCCCAGGTAACTGAGCTGTCTGGATGTTACAATTGCTTACATGGAGCACGGATAGAGGTATCCTGCAGTTCACATTACAATTCAGTCGCTGAAATCAAGTGCAGTAACTTCACCACAATTGTGAAGTGCAGTGCTGAGAATATAACAACGGAGCTGAATCTGAACTTCAACAAGGCACTCACTGAAGAAACATGCTCTATATCATGTGGTAATACCAAATCCAACATTGCTCTCAAAGGTCATCTGTTCTATCATCCGGTTTCAAATGACTCCATATTTTCCATAATTCGGAGGAGGGACGCGTGAACATGCTGGATTTCTCTCAGATTCACTCCCTGATTTAGCACCATTGCTAAAGATAATTAGGGATCATTGGAAGACGGCTGTACTCATTGCCGTCACTTGCACGGTAGTCACCGGTCTAGTATATTTATTTGGACCAATAGCAATCATTTTTCTGTTCAAAATTTTGTGTGCATCAATCAAATGTGTTTTAGCCCCATGCGGCGCCATATGTGCATCTGCTCGAGCGGTGCCTTCAAACGCATAGCCGTAACATAGATGAAGGGCGCCCCGACGCCAGAATTTCTTTCAAGTTTCATAAAGGCCACTTAAAGGTCCTTACGGGTATTTTGAGATAACTTAACCGCACTGTATATTTATATTCCCCCTATGGGACACTTCCTTTGAGTAAAAACATATATAAACTCAGCGCCGACAGAACTCGGCACATGGATCTGTCTGACGTCTCCGAAATGCTCACCCACGCAGAATCGTCTCCTTCAAATGCTGATCTAATGTCAGCTATTCAAGGCCTACAACAACAGATGGAGTCGACCTTCCATCATGTAGCAGCACGTCTCCAAAATCTTGAAGGAGCGGTTAAAGAGCTACTAGAACGCTCCACTCCTCGCTCTTCATGCCTCTTCTGCCCACTCCCGGATAACCGTGACGGTCATACGACGTCACGGTGCAATAAATATCCGGACGCAGTGGCAAAGAGCATGCAAGTGGCGAGACTGGGCCTTTGCGGTCGCTGTCTGAAGCCGGCTCACGACGACGACGACTGCGGCGTGCAATGTGCGGCGTGTGGGCGACCACACAACGTACTATTGTGCGCCAATCGAGGACAAGGCGGTGGCGGCTTCAAGAGACGACGACCTTGATGACGACGACTATGGGCAGCAAGCTGGGACATCAGGATCCAAAAGAAAAATTATTGTTTTGTTGTACATAAGTTTTGATTGTTGTGGCCGGCGGGAGGTTCTGGCGCAGGCCAGAACCCGCGGTCACCCCCGCTCCTTAGGGGCGGGGCTTAGGGCATTGTGGTTTCTGTTCTGCCCGAACCAGGGTGTCTTGTATGCCATTAGGATAAATCTTGTAACCAATCACTGAACCACCTTCATACATTCTTAAAGAGAGATACTCATCTCTCGTAATTATAAGGCGCCACCCTTCCGCCTAAGTCACCACAGCAAAGAGCTGAAGGGTAAAACGAAGGAATGAACACAATCTTAGTCAGATAACTGTGAGCAGTTCCTCTTGGCCACACTTCAAATACAATTTATAGGTGAGAGCAGATACATGACAGTAAAGTATGAATGTTTAAATAAAACTACATACGAAAGAAAGCAGAGAACAAATTGCTCGTTTCCGAGCACTCGCAATCTCATTCTCTCTTTAAATCCACACTAGAGTTGCCATGATTCATACTCACAACTCAGGTGTGACTCTCGAGAGCAAGAGTCGTATAATAAATCGCTTACCTACAATATATCACTTCCAATGGTAGACAGAATTGCTGGCACTGGGACCAGACCAGGAGGAAGTAGAGAGAATACAGCACAACCAGTAGCCAGAATAGAAGAATAAGTGGAGGAGTGCACAGCAGTGCATAATATAGACACGAAAAAAACAAGCCGAAGTCTAATTGGCACCGTGCCAGGCCGCCGCAGCGCTGATGCACGCCACACCCAGTTCAAATGTCCGCGCGCGCGAAAGTAATTTAAACCACAGCCGACTGTGAGGACTACCGGCGATCCTCATAGAGGCACATGACAGTAAACCCTCAATTGACTTACCGTATACAGTTGTATTCCAAGTTCCGCCACCCGATATCAGCAAGGCATGCTGGCAACAGCTTATCCACGCATTCTATCAAGTGCCATCCACCCCAATTTTCGGATATCGACTGTATATCCCTGACACGATATGAAGCATGAGCAGAGCAATTGCTTGTGAAAATATTTTTACAGCCATATCCACCCTTGCAAGCGATGACTGCCTTTTATTATCCTCAGAAACTGCAAACAGTATTTATGAGTGGACAAATTGTTAGAAGAAAACCTTGAAGTTACTTGCCGCATCATACTGCTCAATAGCTTTGTTAAAAACTCGTTCGGTTTTGAAGTATGCAGAAAATTCGGACGTTGGGAAAGAAGTGCGAGTTCGCCCTTGAGTCTCTTCACTTCATTGCCCAACCGTAGTACCTCGGGACTATCCTTGCTTTTGACCAAGGATCTTGCCCACAAATTTGGCAAACATTATGAGTCGACAAAAGACAAGAAAATGAGCTCCGGTGTAACGCATTTACCATATTAGATAGTTTCGACGCCAAACTGCGATGGAACGGGAAGATCAGGGAGATTATGAGCAAGAGAAGCACTTCGTACGCACTGAAGAATGATTCCGATATGCAACGTCAAAAGAAGAAATGTGACAAAAAGTCTGATTCTTTCCGCACCCTTCTATTGAATCCATCCTTTCTGGAATATAGCTTTGTCAATGGAGCTCCACGAAAAGAAAAATAACAAACGCCACCAAGTCCTCCAGAAAATATGAGCTGATACTGGACTAGTCACTGAAATAATGAAAACAGATGAAGAAGTTCGTGTGGTGGTGAGGGAGGCATTGTGTATCACTAATTTCTGCCTAAGGCTGCTTTTATACTTTGCGCCGCCGCGGTCCGTGCGGAGAGAGCGAAGCAACACTACCCTTTCAGGGAGGACTGAAAAGTAGTGAACAGGACAGAGAAGAAGTCTAGGCCAAAAAACTATAGAAAACAAGGCGTCACACAAACATCAGCAGAGAGGAAAACATGTTGAGGCCGAAATTATCGATCGAAAGCTATCAATTATACGCCAAATATGCGACATGCGCCAGTGCGCGTATTTACGCTCTTCAATCTCTCCGCACGTACCGCACCGGTGCCAAGTATGAAAGCGGCCTAGGACCGCCGACTGTTGCCTAAACCTTCACCCTGAAAAAAATGCAGGACGAGTTATGGCAGGCTGCTCACTGTGACTTTGTACTCCAGTTGACTCGGGCAACTTGCCAACTTCTTATTGTAGGGCGCCATTCGCTGCGGGACCCGCTGCCTCCAATCACTGTGATCCTTTTCAAGCCCATTGATATTCGCGTAGTTTGATGTGAAATCAGATTTCCTCCCAGCATGCAGAACTTTCGTCCCTCACGGCAATGAGGTTCGCACAGTAATGCCGTCTCGGAGACCCGTGCGGTTCAATGGCATGCCCCACGAGTCACTAATAGCATGCCTCAGGTCTGAACTGGTATGGTATTTGCACACGAACATCAAAGTATTAGTGGTCCGGCATTAAAAGAAATGATGACAAGAACCCGCAAATGAAGTTAGTTGGGGGCTTGCTCATATTCGTAATGCGGCAGTGCTGGCAATGAGAGGCTAAGTACGGAGAGAAGAGTTTGAGGCGAGACGACAGCAAACAGGCTGCTGCAGATGGGGACATTGCACTGCTGCAGCTGAATTTGCAAGACTCTAGCGTCCTTGTCAGGTGATTTCCATGCATGAGTGTGCCACATCTGTGAATCACCTCTAAGGGGTCTATCTTTGTTCTACGGAAGCTGCGCAGTTCGGCTTGGTGGTACAATTGGAGCAAGGGAATCGTTCACACGACCGCTGACTTGGTGGTGCTTTTAATGTCTGTAAATCACAATTGTTACGTTACTTCATTATTGGCTTGAGGCTTTTTAGTCACAGAATAACTGTTTCACTACTCACACTTCCACACCAGTTCAGTGCAATTTCTATTTGTGCTACCGCTGTTGTGAAACGCGCTGCATGTCATCTGTAATGGTAATGGTAGCGTTATATGTGCCTCAAAATAGTCGTTCGGCACTAGTTATGCTCAAATAAGATATCCATTAATTACGCCGAACAGCTCGAAGGCATATCAGAAGAGTTGGCGCTTATCCGGGGGGGGGGGGCATAGTGAAACGTCAAGTGGCTGCCCTCACACCCACCCACCCCCTAGACTGGCTTCACTCCCCCTGGCTCACGGGGTCCTGTACTTCGGGAAACCTGTGCGCCAGGGGCAGTGAAGCCAGTAGGCAGTGTAGGCAGTCTAGGGGGGTGAGGGGTGAGGGCAGCCACTTGATGTCCCCCTTACTGGATGAGCGCTGGAGAGTTGGTTCAAAGAACTTTCTTTTCCTTCAACCTACTAATATGATTTTCCAACGACAATCTAAAGTGAAGGGAATCACGTCCAACCCTCAAAGTAGTGAGATCCGTGAAATGGTTGATAATCGTGACAGGATCGAACCATAGTAGTGTTTACTTCAACCCCCTGGCGATCTCGAGGAGATAGCCTAGAACAGCACAGAGAAGAACGACGTCAATGAAATGAAACGCGATTGAATCGGATTTTGAGGGGATAACAGTGATTGGAGGCAGTGAGTCCCGCAGCGAGTGGCGCCCTATAATGAAGAGTTGGCGAATTGCCCGAGTCAGCAGGAGTACAAAATCAATAATCAAAATCATTTCTACGAACCGTTGGAAATCGTTGGATTCGTTGGATTTAGACATTGGAAAATCGCGATAATTATTCCCTGTGCAAAGAATACATATGGCACACATAATCACCGGGGCAGTCTGTCCTAAGGTTACTAGGACTCATCCTAAAGCATAGGAGGCAGTCTGTCCTAAGGTTACTAGGACTCATCCTAAAGCATAGGAGCGAATTCCGTAGCGAATGACAACTGCTTACGCAACTCAGATTCCCTCTTGTGCTCCACTAGATTTTTATCGGCACTTAAGTCCTTTTTATTATGGATTCAAACCGTTTTGACAGAGCGAGCACCCGGAGTAAAACATGAATTATAATGTTCTGCTGTAGCCACGTACAATGCGCGACGCATTGACACGCTGTAGTGCGTGCTCGCCTTCCACCATTCGTTTTCTCTGCGCTTTCTCGAAGGAGAGAGAATATGTCGAGCCAACCCGCCAACTGGGCGGAAGTGGTGTAGGGACAAGTGGCACGCTTACCACGCGAGCGGTCCAGGGATGAAATCCTGATTCGTGAGTGGCCCAGGCCACCCAGCCTTCCATTTCCGGGGTCGGTTAATTGGTACCACACTTGTCTGGGAGGATGAAAACACTGACTTGTACATCGGCTGGCCCCGCAAGTCATTGTGTAGGCCATATCGCATTAAAACGACACTGCGAATGTACAAATGGAAGTAGAATGCGCGCCGCAATCCCAAAAAGGGATTGGGCGCGAAAGGGGATCAACGGCAAATGCTTTATCCTTTTATCCTTTAACCCGCCAACTACACTTAGCGCTGTTCATGTAGGAGGTGGAGGATGGCACGCACGCCAGAGTGGCTTGCGCCGGGAGGCGGTCATATGGCGCGATCACATTGCCATTGGGGCGCATGGGCTGCAATTGCCACCCAAGCGCCTCCCATATCTCGACCAAATAACTTGTCCGGATCACCGAACGATCGAATTATCGTGGTTGATCTGCCTACAATGGAGCGCGCCATAGACTGGACTGCAAAGCCTCCCAGTTCACCATTCTCCACTCATCCTCCGGCTTCATTCTTGCGCTGAGTTTGCTCTGCACACTTCAACTACTGGAATAAATGCAGAGTTTCTTCAAAGTGATTGCGTGACGATTATTTTGGAGCTGTGATACATTGCACTTCCCAACGACTTGCAGTGCATGGTAACAACTCCTATACGTGGGAAGAATTGTTCAGTTTTTTTTAGCGAACAGTGTATTGTAAAGTCTGTTGTCTTCATTTGAACTAGGCGCATCTTAGGAATCATTCCTGAAATTCATTCAGAATGGCCTACTTGCAGTCCTCATCTAAACCTAATCAGTATCACGGTTGCTCACTTGAAGTTTTA